CTCTCTCTCTCTCTCTCTCTCTCTCTCTCTCTCTCTCTCTCTCTCTCTCTCTCTCTCCCTCCCTCCCTCCCCTTCCCCCCTCTCTCTCCCTCGCTCTCTTTCTCACACGCGCGTCTGATTCATACGTATTAAGAACTACGAATTTAAAATTGCGCGCACGAACAATTTTATCCCGGGTAATGCGTCCTAAAATCTCACGACGTTCGTCAGACATTAACCATTGCATGTTCGCCCCGAACTCGTTGGACACGTCGTGAAACGCGAGAGCGTTGTTGTCTTAAAAGCGCGCGCCATCGCCGAGGCGCGGATACACACGCGTAAACATCGGCACGATCGGCTTCGTTAAGACGTCAATGATGATTACCGCGCGAGAACAAGTTCCCAGGCAGGATCACGTTCGCCGGCTCGTTAATAAATCGACTCGCGCGATAAAAAATATATATCCGATATCTTTCTCCCCCCTCTCTCTCTCTCTCTCTCTTTATCTATCTACCTATCTATCTATCTTTTTCCCTCAGCAGTGACGGCAGCATCGCTCTCGCGGGCGGCCCGAAGACTCATCGGCCCGGAAACACGTCGCATCGACTGCCGTCAGGAGTTAAATCTCGGCGAGAATTTTATTTCCGAGATCTCCGTTCCCCCGCCCGACGAGGCCCGGCGAGACTCCATTAAGTGCGCGACGAGCGGAGAGAGGAGGAAGGAGAAGCGGCTGCTCAGGACCGATTGTTCCTTTCGGTCGAGTGAAAAATTCTCCCTTCGCCTCTCGCCGGTGAGCGAACCCTCTCGGAAAAAGGGGATAGGATGTGCCAGGGTAAGGCCAAGGGTGGAGGGGAATCTCCTTAAAACGAGGCAATCTTCCGCGATCCGCCGTAAAATTACACGGAGGTTTTGGTGATGAACATTTTGCCGCGCATCCAGACGAGAGATCTCATCCCCCTCCCGGTCTATAGTCACCGCATTAAGCTTATCGCACCCGGCATTGTCGGGGCTGAAACACACGCCGATGGGCAATCGCTGAGAATCGTAGGAAGATGCGTGTACACGCGTCGTTCGGACCGCCACCTCGCCGTTTCACCAAAGGATCGTCCCGTGAACAACGGCTCCGGCTATTCGGAGCTGCTCGAGCAGCAAAATGTGGAGATAAGTCTGGGAGGTACCATAAAGTCATTCGCCTCCGCTGCTACCCGCTCGCTGCAAAACTACGGGCAGAACTTTGAAAGGGAAATTCGAGCGGCTGGGGCCGAGCGGCGAGTGAGCGAGCAGCGTTCTCGCTGGCAAGAAGCCCGGTGATGCGCTGAGTTAGCTGTTAATGTTCCGAAGAGAGCGTCCAAATAGAGACGCCGCCAGTGAATAGTTTAATTAACGGCGAGCGCGAAGGAAACACACTCCCGCCCCCGCGCGCCGACGGGGCCGTAATCGCGGCGCTTTCTGCGCGCGATTCCCACGCGCGCGCCTCGCGACTCCGCTGGAATGAATATTAGTGGACTAAGCTTCAATAATAAATCCTACTATGTTAAAGTGAATCAGTGAATAGCCACTGATATCAGTTATATGTAAAGCACTGAGCAGTTTCAGTGCTGTACTTATAACTGCAAATCAGTGTATATTTACCCGAGCAAAAATGTATCTAGTAGAGCAGATTTTAAGACTAGTAGCTAGATAGTAATGACTAGATAAGTTTTCTAGCCAGTCACTAGTTCGTGACTGGCTAAATATTCCTACTCAGTCTTTTGAATGTCAGGACTGTCTAGTAACTATACCAATTACATAGATAGTGGCTAGATGAAAAAGATTACACAGTAACGAGATAGAAAACCATCGGTAAATCCTGAATAGAAATTGGACATCAGAACTGTCTAGTACTTATATCAATTATAGTTACAAGTTACTTTTTTGTATCTAGCTAGATAATTTTTGTATCTAGCTAGATAATTAGATAATTTTTCTGGAACAGCTACTAGGAGAAGTGAGCGTTATATTCTTAGCTAGTAGCGATGTAAGACCCAACTTTTCTGTGTCATTACTAGACAATCACTAGATTTAATTTCTGTTCGGGTATATTACTATTTCTATTAGTATACCATTGTAGGTAAAATATAACGATTAACGAACCCTCTCCCCAACGACCCTGACATTGACACATATTATTATAAGAAAAGTATGTTGAAGAGCATACAAAAAGTTTTAGTCGTCGGATTTTGTCCATTGCAAAGCTTTAACAAAAAAAGTTTGTTAAATATTTAGCAAATTAAAATGTCATGTAAATATGACTTTTTAATTAAATATTTATATAAAATCAATTTATAAAAAATCATCGGTAAATCCTGAATAGAAATTAAATATCAGAATTGTCTAGTAACTATAACAATTATAGTTACAAGTTAATTTTTTGTATCTAGCTACTAGATAATTTTTCTGGTACAGCCACTAGGAGAAGTGAGCATTACATTCCTAGCTAATAGCAATGTAAGACCCAACTTTTCTGTGTCATTACTAAACAATTACTAGATTCAATTTTTGTTCGGATACTTGCTTTCAATGATGTTTCGCTGATTCATTTTAAGAGAATACCAGGTCAAAACTCCTTAGCCTTTCGTGGAAAAACATGTACATGTACATCACTTCTCCGTAAAGCGAACAAAAAAATATTTCTTTATCGTTTGCTAAGTAAGTTGCATAATTTCTTTTTTTCTCCTAAATCATCACCTAGAATTAATGAATTTATTTCGCAATCTCAAATTAGCTCTAAATACAAAATAATTTTTGACACTAAACATTATTATTCCAGCAAATTAACAATTGCTTCCATACACAATCTTTTTGTAGCATCAAAAAATCTGTTTAGTTATACCTCATTTTTCATTATATTAAATTTACTAACTTACTATTAAAATAACTAATTTATTTTTCTTATTCAGATAGCGCATTGGTCTGCTATGCCAAAAGTCCCGGGTTGTTCGATCCCAGGCGGAACCCTTAAAATTTTCATGCAATCGTGTAGCTCCTCTTCGGAGGCCCGGCAAGCCTCCAAGAAAAAGTATCTTTGCCACGAAGACCTCTCAAAATCTGCCAATCGGAATCAGCGTTAAAACTTGTAGGTCTCATATGCCTGTATTATGATTTACATACGCATTGCAGATATACGTAAAGGGAGGTAGACCTTTGTCCGACTTGGACTGTTGCGCCATTAAAAAAAATTTTTTTTCTTATTCTAATTCTTTATCATCTTGTCTAAATTTGCGTTTACATTGTCTTTTCTAATCTGTCATTCTAATAACTTGATATATCGTCACTCAAATTAGAAAACACACAAAATTTCAGTTTTACAAGAGATTTTACAAATGATGCAGAATCTTTTGTCGTGTAGGTGTCACTTGACACGACCAAGAAAAAAAAAGTGAAAGTTTTAATTGAATTTTTTGAAATTAAATTTTTACTTTATAATTATACTTTATAATTTATACTTTTGAAATTAAATTTGTAATTCATGTATAGAATCCAACCAAAAATACCCAAAATTACATTTTGTTTTCTAGATACTTGAACTCATTAAACTTAATTCGCCAAGAGGATTTAACAATCGATGTAGAATAATTCAATAACTGTCAAGCTACATATGATACAAATTATGTATGAACGAAATGACCTCAATTTCGTCAAAAATTGGAGTCAGAAGGTCTTCTAATTTGGTCGACGATACATTATATCCAAGCACAATAGAAATGAGAAATATTAAGTTTTGATTAATTATTAAGGTTTTATTGAAGCTTAGTATATAATCATGGCAAACGATGTCATGCATGCGCGTGCGCGCTCTTGTCCGCGAAAAATGCAATTTCGATCAAACGTTCGTTTATTGTTCGCATCACACACACACACACACACACACACACACACACACACATATTGACATTGGCTTATCGAAAAGGCACGCTCAACCGGCTGACAATGGTGAGATACGTTTTACTTCTGTCAAATGAAAACGAGATAATGTGCTGGCTGTCAAAAACGAATCACTTTAATCGCGAATGACGTCGACAACATGGGGGACAAGTATTTTTATATAAACACAGCCGATTGATGTGTGGGCCACTGTTCACTTGTGCCATATTGTTAACGGGCGTAGACAGAATTCGCCATTAACCCGTGAGTGTTCCTGTCACGCAACATGTGTTATTTTAAATCGAAATAGCGAATGTCAGTGTTCTGGAAGTAGCAAGTGCGTTTTCAATATCAAACACTAGATCAGACGAATTAATAAAAATTATGGTTGTTTTATATAACTTAACTGTTATGTAGCTTTATATAGCTTGACAGTTATTGAATTATTCCACGTCGATTGTTAAATCATCTAAGCGAATTAAGTTCAGTGGGTTCGAGTATCTGAAAAACAAAACGTAAATTTAGATAATTTTAACTAGATTTTATATACAAATAAAAATTTAATTTTAAAAAATTCAATTAAAACTTGATCAAATACTTCCACGGCGTCTTTCACGCTTTAAAATTGCATATTTTTTAATGAATAATTAATAACGCGCGAGAAAATATTGTATACTAAAGAAAAAATATAGTTGAAGTAACTATAATTTATATTATATACTATAATTTATATTATAACAACTATTTATATTAAAATCATCATAGTTTATGATATTATAGTTTTTATTTTAAACATATTGTTTTAATTCTTCTAAATATGCAAACTGTAGCAAAGTAAATACAGAATCATAATAATTATACCTATGACACATATATTCATCCGTCTCTTATCATCTCTTCATCATCATCTGTATTGTGCATCCGTATCTTATAATTGTCATAAACATAAATGATATTTTCGTATAACAAAACATCATAAAATATAGTATATAGTATAACAATAGTAATAAAGAAATGTATTCACACAGTTGAGTACAAAAATGCACATTTATAACCAACTTGATCTGATTTGACTTTATATATTTACTATATTTACTTGAATTATATGCAAAACCGCACATACCTCTAGCACTGTAATTTTATGTTCAGTTGCCTTATTCTATTTGTTTGTCTGTAATACCAATTCCTTTGTCAAACACCTTATAGATAATCATGTACATACGGTAATATTTCCGAATTTTTCTTTACCAAATATATGTATGGAGTAAAATTTATCAGTATTACAAATATGTACAAATGTACAATATAATCACATACTTTTCTTTAAAAATAGTTGTTTCTTTTACTGTTCTCTGTCATTAATATCCTGTGTACGATAAAGTACTCTATAAGAATGTAGTTATATATATACTATATATACAAATATTTATCATATATACTATCATATATACTACGATTGCATTAATTATATAAAATACTTTGATATATATATATATATATATATATATATATATATATATATATATATATTTAAAATTACTATAATTTATATGGTAAAAATTTACATAGTTTAATTATATCCTGTTATAATTATAATTATTGCCAACATTCAGATAACATTTACTATAGAAATAACATTTCTATTTATAAAATTTTTATTGTCACTATATATTTCCAAATACCATACATTTTTCTCTCAGTGTGCCACCCGACAGAGGCGTTCACGGTACTTTCGCCCATTAAACAATTTAATCGGACGAATTCGCGCGCATTCTAAACGCTCTTTGTTTCCCGCGATTCTTGCCGGGACGGATTTATTCGCATTCGTCGATATTATTGGAATTCGCACGGTAGTATTCCCCTGCACGCTTCGTACCGCGGCGCTTCTTTGCGATAGAAAGAGAGAGAGAGAGAGAGAGAGAGAGAGAGAGAGAGAGAGAGAGAGAGAGAGAGAGAGAGAGAGGGGGGGGGG